AGAAATGAGTTATGCAAGATATTTAGAAAACAAATAAGAGTTTAAAGTTGTTGGTATTTATATATAAAAACCAATGATTGAAATTAAAACAGTATATTTATCAGCTAAGTTTTAAATTTATTCAAAACAATCTGAATAAAAGAAAGTTGAATTTTAATATTCAAAGATATGACCATTAAAATAAGTCCTTTTAAAAAAAAAGGTTAAATTATAGTAAACGCTGTCATCAAAATTTCCATACTAGTTAAGGTATTGTAGGTGTTAATACTTAATTTTAGTGCATAAAACTGTTCTTGAAATTTTGACCACAGTTTTTTGTGTATGTTTAAGGAAAGTAGGCTAATTCCTTTTATAAAGGAAACCTTATCACACATTCAGTGAGAATAGCTTTACTCCTAAAAACTAATTACTAAATTATTAATAGTTAAAACTAGTAGTAAGCTGTACAAGTACATATTTGTGTAGATCAGACTAGAGAGAAATGATGTTTGTGAGACAGCAGTACATTTGTAATTAAAATGTCCTAATGTTTTATTAGAACAGTGTTCATTATATGGTGTAGAACACCTGAGCTTATTGAGCACAATGTTTAATAGATAATAAGGATATTATAAAACTTGTGGATTGATCACCTTCTTTGTTCTATGCCATTGCTGATTAGGCTTTTCGCTCGGTACCAAAGATCATCAAGCTGATTGGGGTCTTTTGGTGGTGGAGCATGAAATATTTACATTTAGTAATATATTGTGAAGGTCCCGGTGTTTATAGTTTACACATTTTTCATGCACTTTGTTAGTAATTACTGTTTACAGAGGAAGAGAAAGTGGTTGCTTTGAAATCATTAGTCATTTTTATTGAAATATAGTTTCTTTATTGATGCTTATTATAACTCATGATTATACAATTTGTTTTGATCAACACTTGCATTATAATAATTCAAGAAGATTGGGAAGGAGAAATAAGTGACTGTGAAACTTGGATAATTAACATCTAGCATATAACATATATCTATGCATTATTTAACTGTCATTCTTATGAAAAAAATGTGTGTATGAAAAACCTGTAATTCGTGTAGTAAAAATACCTTTGAAAGAAACTAATTTCTTTAACTTTCACAGTTTGAATGGGAGATTGCGTTCTCCTCTGTTCCTTTTCTTCCACAACTGACAAATGCTTCCATAATTATTATTAACATTGAGATATTTATAATGGCAAAGCAAATTATTCAGAAACTGTATTTTTTCTGCTACTAGTGGCAACCAAGTAGCCAGTGTGGTTGCTGACCAATGATTAATCATTTTATTCAGAGAGTAAAAAGGATGTTCTGACAGTCCAGTGTTAGTTCGGTTCAGAAATTTTTTGAATACCAAAATTTGATAATATTGTTGTTTTATTAACCTTTGGGTTGAGAGAATATTTTCGATAGGGCTTCTTATAAACCTTGTTATGATTCAGAGCATTTGGCTGTTATTGTGATAAGCTTTGATTTGACCTCTTTTATCTTTGGTTCTTGAATGAGAATCTGCTATTTTTATTTTAATAAATAGTATGAGATATTATTTTGTGAATAAGATGTTTTGTAGAAATACTGTTATGTATGGTACTAGTAAGAAATTTAGTAGTATTCTTTTGTTTGTTTTTTTGATTGCTGGCTGTAGGTGTGTAGTATGCTATTATGAATATTTAACAGATAAGAGTATGAATTTTGCCTGTTTTTCAAAAATATATATTCATGTTTTTGTTTTTAATCTTTATTAGACTGCTGGCAGAACTGTACGTTAGTTAACTCATATTACAAGTAGAAGCAAGAGATACTGTTCTGTTTAATAAAAAAGTAGCATATTGTGATCAGAATGTTTCACAGTTTAAAAGTTTAATTTTCTTCTAAGTATTATGGGTGTTCTCACATAAATATGATGAAATATGTTTCAATTCACTGTATAAACTATCAAAATATACTGATTCTGAAGTGATGGAAATGTTTAAGGAAGAATTTAATTTGAAAAATTATTTTTTAAGTTCTTTTTCTGGATATTTGATTAAAAATAAAACAGGTTAATAAAGTTTTTTTTGTTGTTGCAGTTTTTGAATGTCCCAATGTTCAGAAATGTCACTTTGAAGTGTCTGACAGAGATTGGTAAGTGAAGCAGTTGAAATATTTTGTAGATTTTAATAACAAGTGATGTTTCATAGTTGAATAAGTTGTTGGTGTAAATTGTTTGTAGCCAGGGCATTTCATTAACTCTTCCGACATGGGTTCGGTCAATTTGACCGAGTCATGTGACCTTCTGTACTTGTTTAAAGTTGACATAAATTTAATACTTATAACTCTATATATTGGGTATATTTTCACGAAATTTGGTAGTCTTTCAGTCAATATTACAAGTCTTTCACATACAAAAAGTCGTATTTCTTAGTGAAGTACTTTTAATGAAATAAAATAAAGTTTTGTCCATGAATTTATTGAGTATTTGTTTTGAATAGTCCTTGTGCAAAGTAATTTTCATGTAAAAATTAAAAATATTTTTTGTCATCTCAAAAATCTTAAGTTTCCTTTGTGTAATCCCTAAAACCTCCTAAATGCATTTCAGATGTGTTTTTTTCTCACTAAATCCTTATATTTTATATGTTATTTTCTCTACCCTAATCTCAAAATGGGATTGGCCAATTCGACCGAACCTAGTAACCAAAAAAAATCGAAATTAACCAAAATTAACCTTCTTTTCTTTCTAGTATGACTTCAAATTGTAACCTGAAACTGCATTCGTTTATCCTAAGTAGCTCTAAGTTTGCAACAATATACATCTATTTATGATTAAATTTTATTGTTTTATTGCCCTTTGAACTGTGTCTAACTGCTATCCGTGCCATTATAAGTTGTAAATCACTCGGGGGAACATGCAGCTCACGTTACGCTATCAAATTACATTACCCAGGAGCTGTTCTGTGCATGCTTCATGAACAATTTTAAATATATATTTATTATTACTTATTTTACCTATTCTAGTCTTAAATAACTTTAAAAGATCTGTACTTTTAATTTTAGTTACCTTTTGTAATAATAAATGAAGAATAAATATGAAAAACAATAAATAAAGTACTTACCCAGTCTTCTTGTTTCTTGCCCTCAATTGTCAAGGAAAGTTAAGCCTGATTTTTTTAGCAATTATAGTAAAGCACTTAACAATTTTCATTTAATTAAATAATACACCAAAGAATATAGACTAATAACATGCAAAAAGTAGACAAATTACTTACTTCTAAAACTTTTCCTGGCTTTTTTAACTGCGGCAAGAGCCGTTACAAATTCATCCAAGCTAGTCGTTAACTTTCCCATGAGAATGATGTTGCTTCTCAGAGTGAAATTGACCGTTATCTGTTCAAAACACAATGTTATACAATATGCCATTTGATAGATGAAAACCTTGACTTTCTATTGGTTATAGGTAATATATAATGAAATGTAAGAGAGAACTATCAACCAATTGTGAAAGAGAGAATATGACAGGTGGGTGTGGCAGGAGGGGGTCTGATTTTCTCTTTGATAGCTCTGTAACCAAACAATATTGAAGGCTATAAAAATTATGGTCTGTGTGAGCAATAATGAGTTTATAGAGAACATTTTATGTTTAATTTTGTACATTTTATGAGGGGTGATGGATAAAATAGGGATGATGACAAGCTAAGACAAAAGGTGTTGTGTGTTACACTAGTGGAATTTCAGGATTTTTTTTATATATTTCCTTTTAGAATTAAGAACTTAAACCTTGTATACAATTAAAATATGGATTATTAGCTAAGATTTTATGCTATTCTAATTGGTATAACATAAACAAAAAGTAGTTGAATAAAATTTTGAATGTAAGACACTAAAACCTTGTGTACTGTGCAGTAAAGGGTACCTGGGCTGATGAAAATATGTGAAATTTCATTTTCAAAGTTTGAGTACTTTGACTGCCTAATTGCTGTAGGTAATGTGTGCCCTGGTTTTTTGGGGAATTTAGTCAGAATTATAAACCTTATTAATGTTGGGCTTAGGAATTATATTGGACTTACTGGTGAAATAGTACAGTCTTGTTAAATTTGATTTGGGGGGGGGGAGGAGAGAGTTTTGTGGTACTTGGCAGATTTTAAAAAAAACAAACAGCAGATGTACACAAAATACCATTTTGTGTTAAATTCCTTTGGTCAAAACGGTATGTGTGTATACGTATATTTATATTCAGAAATAATATTTCCTTAGGTTAATAAAGACTTAAGTTTTATGCTAAAAGATTAAATATTTTTTTTAAATATGTGTGAAATTAAAAAAAAAGAAAGTTTAATGGATTTAATTATATTTATATTTTTAAATTCTGAACCATTTCTGAACTGACGCTAAACCTTCTTTCAAAATGACTAAGGCATTCTACTATAGTAGTCCAAAACTAACCCTGCCATAGTGTTAGTGCTGTTGTGCTACTGTGTTGCTGTGCTTTAGTGGTGCATGTATACACTGAATGATCACAAGTAAATAGACACCTAATATTTTGTTATTTAACTGATTTAT